TGAAAAAGTACGTGTTCTAAGAACTTATTACTTTTAAAAATAAACCGATATCGAAACTTATTTGTAGTCACAATATTCCCGTTTTATCATGCTAATTGAGAATTGGAATAAATAATTGGAATATTAATATACATGAATCCATTGTATGTACTAAGTTAATAATTCTTTATAACTAATACAGTTGGCTTTTATTATATATTTAACTATATACAATTTCAGTACTTGTCTGACATGAAACCTATTTTTTAGCAAAATTTCACTTAATAATTTTACAATTTAAGAACCTTAAATCGTCCTTTAAAAGAAAAAAAAATATTTCATAAATAATATTGACACTCGAATTCGTTATGTGCTCTTTGAAATACGCATGCATTTACGATTGCAGTACTACAAAAGCTTAAATACGTTTTAAATCTCAAAAAGGTCAACAAAACCATTATAAATTAGAAACGAAAAACGGAAAAATGATACATGTCAAAAAGAATTGCTAATCTTTTGAGAAATATCCTTGGACCTAAAACATGGGGGGATAGTGTGTAACGCACTATAACGAATACAAAACTACAACGTACATAAAGTATACATATATATATATATATATATATATATATATATTATACTTTTATCATGTATTGTGTGTGAACAAACGGGGAAATGGGAGACTTGAATACCATATACGCAGTACGCGTAGAATGCACTGCAAACAATTTATTGTGAGAATAGTGCGTTGTAAAATAAAAAGAAGGGGGTGAAAAGCCGCAGAAACTTTTCGGGAGTACGAGACGGAGAAGACGGAAAAACAAGTAAGTGCAAAACAAGAAGAAACGAGAAACTAATGCGAGTGTACAATACGTTTATACATAAAACATAGTTGTGTGTGCACATCAGTACACTGTTAACGTTGAGCGACGGCGGGACGAGTGCGATCTCCGGTCGGAAAATGAGTTTTTCGGCGTCTGCGGAACTCCCGTCGATAAGTCAACAAGCGGAAAACTCTGCCCGCGCGCGCACGGGTTAATTGAACAAATGTTTGGCGCGGAGATGGAAGAGCCCGTCGGACGGCACCTGCAATAGGGCACCATCGACAGCGGCTGCGCGATAATCAGGTAGTCGACGGACGCCGAAGGACGGGAAGGGATGGGCTGCTGTGCGCCAGCGTTTTAATCGAACAAACTTTTTTCCAATTTTTTTCACTCCCCGTCCATCCCTCTGCTATATCGCTCGTGAATTTTTTTTTCACTTTTTTACACCGTATGATTCACCCTTCTATCCGTATTCCAGGAATGCGACACGGCCATCAGCAGAGAGTGTCCGGCTAGACCGGCACGGGTCGCGGGGAACGTGCGTGTATTTATATACATATATATGAATACGTAGTATATACATCGGTCTGTGCGTTTTGAATTCCCCTCCGCCCTCGCACGACCGACAACGCGTGCGCCTATGCACATAGAGCTCAACGTCGCCACTACTCATTGCCCACTCATACACACATTTATACATGTAAAATAACACACTACTACTAAGACAACTACACTAATATTACTACTACTACTACAACTACTACTACTACTACTACTACGCTGCTGCTGCGATGCAATATTCAATATTTTACATGTACATATATACGCATTAGGTCGGTTCGAAAAGCCGCCGGTACGAATACACTTAGGGGAGGGTTTACGATGGCGGCGGCGGGTACGGAAGGAAGTGAAGTGGCGCAAACGGCATGGGGGTGCGTGGATACGTCTAGCCGTATCGACCGAGCCGTGCAGGCAGTCCGTGAGGGCTTCCACGACAAGGCGGGGAAGCGGCGGACGTACGGTGTTCGTGAGTGTGTCGTGCCAGTGCGCGTGCGCGCGCGCCTATGCGCGCGCTCGTGTGTGTGTGTGTGTGTGTGTGTGTGTGTGTGTGTAGTGATGATGGCAGAGGCTTTGCTGCATTGCGTTCGCCACCGCCGCTGCACCGTTCATTTCCGGGGTGGCCACGCGCGATCGGTGAGTCGGCTGTGGACGAGCGGAGGTCGGCCGAGTGACGTTATCAGATGGACGGCTACTACCCTTTCCGCCACGGCTTACCTACTGCCGCGGTAACGTTCCCGACCACCCCTATACGTGTGTACACGCAGAAGCTTATACATCGCCTCCGACAGGATCAAACTGAACACTACCTCCCCACGGCTCCCTACCCGCCACCAACCCTTTCGTGGAAAACGATCAGTCGCGCACAGACGTACACACACTCAAACGTAAGTTTTACTCCGCAGTACCGCATTGTCAGGAACACAGACGCCGAGACTGTAGGGGATATTAACGTGCCCTACTGTGATAATAATAATGATTTCGTCCTATTATTATTGCTTTTTCTTTTCTTTTCCTTTTCACCATCCTTCATCGAGAGATTTAATTGTTTTTTTTTTATATATATATATATATATTTAAATATCCTCCGCTAACCACTACCAAGAAACAGTGTGGATTATGTTCCGTTTTTGTTTTTGGTCTTTTGCCATTTTTCATTTCATTATTTTTTGTTTAAAATCACAGTTGTGAATAAGTCAATTAATTTTGCTAATTGATTCGTATTGTATTTTATTTATCTAACCTGAAGATATCTCATTAAACGAGTGTCAGTTTCATCTAAAATAAAATCTATATACATATTTAATATTTCTATTTAATCCATTATAACTTTCCTAGCATATAATACTAAATTGTGTATTATACATATAATTTCTACTGTTCGTAACTATAAATCAAAACTCTGAAGTGTACTGTAGAGCATAACGAATTTTCAAACTAATTATAAAATAATACGATTATAATTAATTTGATTCAAATAAATTAAAACCATTTTGGACTAATAGGTTATAATTTTAAGTTACTAATATTCATTTGAAACTTTTTAACCATAAAATAAGTCCTTATAATTATCAATATATTTGTATTGAAATCATTAAATCATACTCAATGCACTGGTTTTTACTGTGAATCAATATTATAATTTTAATTATCAGTCAATGGTTTTACAATTTTATCTAGATATATCTTATTAATTTAACTTGCTCTGTAGTTATCCATTTATTGCACATATCCTTTTATCTTAAGTTATATGTTGGACAAATTTAATCTTCGGGTTGCATTAATTTGCTTTTAGGCAGTGGTCCCTACTAGGATTTTAGAAAGGGCCCAACAACTTTAAAAATTACTTATGGACAACATATATTTTTAATAGTAATTATTAAAAATATAAAAATTATAACATATAGATTATAAATGAATTAACTATAACTTAATAAATTGTAACTATAATGTTATAAACAATTTATAGTTCATAAAATCGATTATATTTATTAGAATAGTGTGTTTATAATAATATTAAATTCGATATAAGTAGAAACGATAAAATAAACAAAAATAATAAGTAATATATATATATATATATATATTATTTTATAAAAATAATAAGTAATATATATATATATATATATATATATATATATATATTATTTTATAAAAATTGAATTCTTATAAATTATTATGATAAAACCAATCATAATTTAACATTTTTTTATTTCAATATTAAGATAAATTCTAAAACTATATTCTTGAAACCTCTATATTCAAACAAAAATTTGGAATTTAGCTACACAATAGCAAAGGTATAGGTTATATATTAAAATACACTAAAATGATTATTATGTGTAATACTTATCCGATTTTGGTTGGTACACAGACTTTTCATCCCTTCTTATAAAATATGCATGTGAAAACTACCATTTCAAAACAGGCGGCTTAGTCCCAAAGACAATATTTAATTAAACAATTCCATTGGCAAAATTGTTAAATTAATCCCCGGCCAAGCTTTTACCTCGCTTTGTTTTTGGTAACCCAAACATTAAGAATAATTCTTGGGTCGAATTGGAAACATATTTTATAATGTGCATACAGGTATATAAAAATTCGGAGAAAAAACTTATAGAAGTAATTCTAGAGAATATAGAAGAACTATAATACTTCATACTAACAATATTTTCATAAAACTTTTTAAGCTAAATAAATACTCGTTTATTCATAATTTTTAACAAGCTTACTAAATAAGATTTACATTTATATATATATAAACGTAAGTTTTTATTATTTAATATTTTTTATTCCATATTGCGTAATGTATTAAATATTTTTTTATATAATGTAAGTAATTTATTGAATAACTATTACTTTAATAACAGAATATGAAAGTATTTGGTCATAGTTAAATAATTGGGTTAGGTTAGAGTAAACTTACTCAGTATAAGATAATTAACTTATTTATTAACTAAATGTATCAGAACACAGCTTTTAAATTTCTGTACTCATACCTTGAAACATATCAATTAACTGTTTAATTTTATAATTAAACTAATTAATTTTATTTGCATTATATTTATTAATATAATTTCATCACCTACATAACCAATTTCTTTTTTTAAACAAAAGTGCAAATTAACCTACATGAATATTGTGACAAGACCTGTGTGTAATATATTTATGTACGTCTAGAGAAAACGAGACTAAAATGTTCTAGATTTATAACATACAGGATAATATTATGGTGAATAATCAATTGAATATCACGGAATGTCAAAGTTTCAAAAAAATTGAAAATGAATATAAACCCCAAAATTGAAAGCAATATGATTTACTTAAATCCTCTGGTTGGTTATAATATAGGTACATTTCATGTTTCCAGAAATAAATTCAATATTCAAAACTACTTTTTTCTCATACAGACTATTTATCTACCTATTCGTTTATATCTGTTGTGAAACGTGACATCAATTCGCAGTGAAATAAGATATTGGTTATGTTAAAATAGTTGGCAGTGAGGAAATAGTAAGTGTTACACCCCTGTTAGCAATAGTATATATAGCTGGTAAAATACGAAAAACATGGACTTTCTCTTGCGTAGTGAATACCAATGGCAAACATATTCTGTTGAAAAAAAAATATTCTACTTACTGAAATCGATAAGAAGTCTGCCGTATCCTTGCCTTTGGTATGGAGGTAATGTTAGAATACAACTCACGTTGAAATTCAAAAACGAATTCTTTTCCTGCGAAAAAAAAGTTCGACAATTTAAATATTATTGTCCATTTGTCTATATACATTATATTATGAGAAATATTTGATCAAATTATCAATAATTTGTCAACTTTAAGTTATTTGTGACATAAATAAATTATTTTGCTTCATAAAATAAATTCCACTAAACACAATGATACATAATAATTTTTTCTTGCGAGCTAGCTTTATAAACGAGTGATATTCACAGTTTACCCTGACAATATAATAAACTGTATAACGAATAATATGACAGCAATGATGGAGTGACAACCCACGACTGGAGCATGTTTAACAATTGATCTTATACAATGCAATAATACTACTACTTATACAATACAATACTATATACTGGACAATTTAATAATACATTATTATATCTTATTGTTTTAAACTATTAATATGTAGAACTTTAAATATTACATTTCATTATTTAAAAAGAAATAAACCGACGAAACTGTTGGTGATAATAATTTCCATCGTAAGGAAAACAATATTAAAATAAGTATAATAAAATTAACATTTTTCAAGCTTAAAATAAATAATATCTTTGAACCACGTCAGAACTTTTTAAAATAAAGTTATTATTATTATTATTATTATTTTTTTTTTTTAAGGCTTCTATAACATAACAGTTCTGTTTCCATGAATTTATATTTTATAAATTAAACTAAACAAGGAATGTATTTATTTTTAATTTTATAGCGCAACAAGTAAAGTAAACTAGAGATTTGTAACCACTGTAATTCGTGTTATAATTATATCTTAAATAATCGTAATACAAGATAGAGTTAATAAATTATTGCCAAAAACTACCTCTGCAACGAATTAAATATATCATTATGATAATTCGTTACAAAACATTTAATACGTGTTCTGCTTTACATATATAGCTTAAAGTAATTGTATAATTAACTGTATTAACTGTATAATTGTATTGTTATAAACTCATTTTTCATTTAGTTTGGTGAAAACCACCATTTATGCAAACCAATAATACAAAAATATTCCAACTTAATACTCATACTTAAACTTGATACTAAATATACTAAATTGCTTTAAAAAACTATTTTAATAAATCCAGCAATAAGATGAACAAATATAATATATATATATATATATATATATATATTTCCGTAGGATTTTATCCAGATATCTTAATGTAACTTAACATATAAAATATAATACGACCGAAACGTACTTTATTTAGCTGTATTAAATTATTTTGGAATAAGAATCCCCGTGGTAAATTAATTAATTAATATAATTCATAGATACTTAATACTAGAATACATCCCAACAATTTCAAAATGTTAACCAAAAATTATTTTTATCATCATATTTTAATTTCAGCAGATAGTAAAGAATAAAAAAACCATTTAAAACTAACAATTTGGTTCATTTAATATATGTGAGTATATATTAGAGACGTAGTGGCAGAGCGGAATAAGGCAGACGTGTCTTAATGTAGTCATCGGTTCGAAATACCGACTGTTATATTTTCTGGGCGATGCAACCATTCGAGAAAAGAAACCATCCCATCAGAAGTATTTTGACATAGGTTCGCCACCCCTGATATAGACACTTAACATCGAATTCCACTTTAAGTTTCACATACATTGTGAATATATTTATTCATAACATTAAAACCATAAAAGTAAAATTGGAAACTTAGTAATTATGAAATAAGCTTTAAACAGTTTTAATAATCAAATTTATATGATTTTTATTAAAAATATGAAATATTTAGCATTTTTTGAGTCCATGGTACACAAATACTTATAATATTTTTAACTCCTTTTCTCAATAATTGATTTATTTCTCTCATTATCAACACTGACATTTTGAACAAAGATGTATATTGTAAATATTTTTAAAATATTTATTAATAAACATTATACAATTTTAATACTTGCTCACAGGCATAAGACAATCCAACAACACAATTCTGAATTCACTATCTATTAAAACTTTTGTAACATTTCGTACTTCAAAACATACTTCTTTTATTAATTTATTTCAATTTTATTATAAATAAAACGAAATAATTGGATAGTAAATATATTTTTAGATTAAAAAAAAGAAAAGAATAAAATTAATTAAAGTGAGTTTTTATCAAGTTAACATTAGCAAAAAAACTATGTACTAATTACGAATTTTTTATTTCAACCAGAGTATTGATTAGAGATGATATATTAAAAATATCGTTGTTATTTTCAGCGGGTTTTAAAACTATATAAAATAGTGGTAGAGCAACACTAAGTTTTAATATGCTCGGGACTATTGTGACTAAATGACCGAGAGCGATTAAATCTTCAGAAATATCGGAGGTAAGCGTCCTATAGTGTAGGTTCCTGATTACAACTCGAAATGGGTGTAGATGTGATGGAAAAAAGAAATGGTACTCAAAACTCGTTCTCCTCAAAAAGGTAATAACTGCATTGAAATTTTCTTGGTCTTTGGGATGAAAACATAAATATGACCGGGCATCGAGATAAAGAATACACTAGACCGCGTACTTGTAAACAGAAATCGAGCGGCGCTGATAATAATCATCCACACCACCGTACGGCAAAAACTTTAATTTTATACATTTTGTAGTAACGTTTTATTGACTTTTCTTCGATTTAAATTAGTGATTTTTAAAGTTTTACTACTATATTCAAAATAGCGAATCAACTGTTTATTTCATTAGACTTGTTAATCGTTTATTTGATATATTAAACCCCCAAATTCTTTTTTCTAAAGGATTTAAAAGTCCAATAAGTTCTGGAAACATTAACACAATCAAAGTTATATTCGACGAAATGTCTGGTTATTTTAAAAGTTTAAAAATACAAGATATTATTTTAGGTGGTAGAAAAATGATTGTACTTGGTTTTATTATTACTATGGAAAGTACCTTAAATGTAGCATAGAAATTACTAAATAAATATCAAAGCCCATTAAAATTTGTATTGACTTATAAAATGTCCCAAGATCATTTAGAACTTTTTTTTAGTTGCATAAGAGCAAGAGGTGGCTCAAACAACAATCCAAATTTCAGTGCAATTCAAAAATACTCTTAGGCAGTTATTATTCACAAACAATATAACTGCTGAATCTGAAAATTGTTCAAACTTCAATTACTCTGAAGCTGTTTATTTCAATACTTGTCATGTACTTTGTAGTTTTTTATTTGATCTTAATAAATAAATATAAAAACATGATTTATTTTATTATTATTTAAATTTCCATTAAGTAAGTACAAAAAAATCGTCTTTAAAACAATAAAAAAGTGAAATATTTGTACATTTCACATGTACGGCATACGCACTAATATGTTTCTTGCCGTACGGTGGTGGGGATAGCGTTTAAATCGACGCCGCCCGACGGTTCGTTTTATTTATGTGTGTGGGTATTAGGAGTGCGTGCTCCAGTATATTCTTTATCTCGATGTGACCGGGTAACTATAAAAGGTATTTGGTTTATATCAATCGTACTTGAAAACGGTTTTTTGAACAATGTAATATCATTTAAATTTTTAACTTGGATCGGAGGAAGGAGAGTTGTAGCAAGACTTACATGTGACTGGTTTCAAATAGTATTGTGGATAGTACCTAATGGGCTGTTATCGCATGACGAGGGAAAAACATTGTCATTAGAATCGTCTTCAATTGATAGAATTGCAAACCAGTATGGTAACGTGAATAACTTTGGCATTTTGTAGTTGTATGATGGTGAATTTATGGTCGAGGATGACGATATATTACGCTTGACATTTGGAACAGAAGAGGTCGTAAGTTTTTTATCTAAATTTTGGAAGAGAATCACTTTACCAATGGAATAGCAAAAAGTAGAGAGGTTTTTGGCAATATGAATTGAGATATGAGTACCATTCTGTTATGATATTGAAGTTCTTTTTCCATAACGCATTGTCCACGTAATGACGTTGTACTTTGCACTTTTCATTGATAACGGAGCATATATCGACATATGTGCGCACTTCACGATTAAGTTAACCGAACTGCGGTTGTTTCATTATAATATAAATAATTTATTTATTTATTAATTAGTTATAATATAAATTCTTGAATTTTGAACGAAGTAAAATAAAATTTATTTTATATATATATACATATATGTATGATAAACATTTTTACTACAAATTTAAGTACATCGAATGCATAGTACAGAAAAAAATATCTAAGTGAAAATGAAATTATTAAAACATTATTTTATTCTGCTCGTAGGTTGAATTTTTAAATAAATAATTTATTATTTAATGATAAAAACATATTTTCAAATTTTATCGAATACAGAATTTCGCAGAAATTTATGTGAACTTTAAGTGTATAAAACACTATTTTATGCTATAAAGAGCGTAGTACTAAATGTTATTAGATTAAAAATCTCAATTAAATACATAAAAACAAGTGAATTATAAAAAAAGTCAATAAAATCATTTTAAGGTAATACTTTATTTTAAATTGATAATATTGAACACATGGTATAGAATTACATGAAAATAAATTTACGAAATTAGTTAGGATTAGTTTGACACTTTGTTGGTGATTTAAAAATATTTATATGAATGCAATGTACGTGCACATATTATACATTTTTACATGTTCTTTATAGTATGGTTTACAGAAAATCCTTAACCCATATTTAGAATTAAGGAATTTGGTAGGATTTAATTTTAAACAAGATTGTTCATAGATAGAATTACTTTTATCGGGATGACCGAATCCCGATTATTTAATACCTAAAACAAAAAAATGTGGAATTGCACTTGGGTTGAAAAAAGGTAATGGTCGAACTACACTCGTTCAAAAAAGGAGTTAGAACTAAAGGCGGGTTTCCACTATGAATTTTCACGTGTACGTGCATAAAAATGATTATAACCGTATCGTTGGATATAGCTGAACATTTTTCGTGTACAGGAAAAATAACACGAAAAATGTTGTTTCCATGTTTTTAAAAAAATTCGTCTTTATAAACGTTTAAAAT